CACAATCAGTTTCCGATTACGTTAGTGAAGTTATGTTCTGTAGCTCCCTCCACTCTCCGACGACCTGAATTTAGTGCCTTCTAGCTAAGGCTGACGAGCCATCTCTATATAAGGTGGAGTATTCTATTGGCGTCTTATGGTGCTAAAATGTAAGTACTCTTTAACCATCCTTGCCATCGAATAATTACACAAGTCTCCAAAAAAAGTCACCTGTTTTAGATTCAATAACTCATTTAATATACTGAAAGTGCAAGTATTACAAAAATTACTTCCATTTTTCTATATCACATCAAATTTTAAAAAATACATTTAAAAATCTTTATAATATCTTTAACATGAAAATCTGAAAACAGTTTACCTTATATTACTTTTATAACATAGTTAAGAAAAAGATTAATTTAAAGCCACTGTTACTCTTACACTTTACTGTTAAAAAAATCACTGTTTTCACGCGTATATAGAACCGTTGTCGCTTAGACTAAAAGCTTGTCCCACTTGTTCCCTTGTGCATTCTAGTAGGATCATCTCGTTGCAGTAACCACCAGTAGTCATCCATCATTGATGTATTCCATCGCCCTTGGTAGCGCCTTTCAATATCTTTAATATTTTGGTGAAACCTCTCACTGTGTCCTTCACTCACTGCTCTCAGTTTCCTGGAAAACAGTCTAAATGGGAGTGAGGAAAATGCACTCAGACTCGTGGTACATCCTAAGGCTCAATATTTTTTCAGCATATTATGTATGCTGTATATATATATATATATATATATATATATATATATATATATATATATATATATAATACTCATAGTTTGGCTCTATATAATATTTCAAGAACTTATGAACTACTTCTTTGAAGCCAATCCAGAATCTTTCAGGGTGTATCATACAGGGTTGAAAATGTTAATCCCTAGCTAGTTCTCTGATCTACGGCCGTACAAAAATTCAAAAATTCCTTCTTTGACTTTTCCTTCTGAGAAGGTGGCAAATATGTTCGTTAGGTACATAAAACAACATCCATTCTTATCCAGTGCCTAGTAAATTGCTTCATTAATTCCAATTTGATGTATAATGTAGGTAACAGAATTTTGTCAGAATCTTCTAGCAATAACGAGACGCAAAAGCAACAGCGAGTTGTCATATTTCACATGCTAATTTCCCAGTTGCTCATTTCTGTTGCCAGGTGTCTCCAGCGGACTTCCGTGAGGAGACATCGCCTCTGCAAGGTGGAAAGATAATAATTCTCTCTAAATACAAATTGTCCAAGAAAACCTCGCAGGCAAAGTTGAACCTAGAATCCACTTCTCAGCCCCGATGTCACTCGGCCTTCTGGCCCAGACAAACTTAAAAAAGATCGTTCCTTCAAACTCCGACAACCTACCCCGACTCCTGAGACTCGCTCAGGGCGATCTCTTAGCTCGTCGAGCAGTGCCCAGGAGGAATCTGCCTCAGAGGAAACTTCAGCCGGGGTGGACAGTCAACCCTTCCCACAGAGACATAAACGGAAAAGGGGGAAGAAAAAGTCCCTCAAAAACAAAGAAACTTAACATCTAAAAGTTATGGCTCTCCTCTCGTGGAACCTCAATGGCTTTCACAACCGTTTAGACAAATTAAAGATGATAATGTCTCTGTATGGACACGTTATATCCCTGCAGGAAATATATTCCCGAGCATTCCCTTTTTCTTCATGACTTTTGCTGCCAGAGGCAAGACGATGATGATGGCCTCCGGGCATATGGCAGAGTCGTTACATTAGTCATAGACTCCATGATGTCCAAAAAAATAGACGTACGAACCACTCTTCAGGCATCTTGTGTTCGTTTGAACTTCTACACTATATCGATAACTATTTGCACCGTTTGACATCTCGCCTGGCCAAGTCGTGTCGCAAGAGGAACTTGAAGATTATTCTCTCTCTTGCTCGCCCCTTTTCTTATTTTGGGGGACTTTAACGTCCACAATACCGCCTGGGGGCACTAGGACCTGCTCGAGAGGCAATATACGTGACAATATTATTGACAACCAGAACTTAATTCTTCTAAATACTGGCGAAAGTTCACATTTTTCTGTTGCTTCAAACACTTTCTCGTTCGTCGATCTGCTTCTCTGTAGTCCATCTCTCTCTAGTCCCATCTTTGGATGGACTGTCCTTGGTGACCTGCATGGCAGAGACCACTTCCGCATTCTGGTCAACGGAGCTGGGTGGGAAAACATTGTAGAATGAAATACGGATATCGGTAACCTGTCCAAACGATATCGATGCTATGGTTGCCCATTTTATTGCCGTTGTTCGTGCGGCCTAAATTGTCATCCCGAAATTGTCAGGTCACCCACAACATCTTCCCGTGCCCTGGTGGAATGCCGACTGTGCCACCGTGGTGCGGGATCGAAAACGGGCATTGACAAAGCTTAGTAGGTTCCCAATCATGGATAATCTGAGCAATTATAAAAGATCACGAGCCAGAGCTACATTGACCATACGGGAAAGTAAGGCCGCGTCCTCTAGAACTCATGTCGTCTCTCTTGCCATACGCCCCCTCAAGTAGTGTGGCGAAAGGTTCGACAGATCCTTTCATCCACAGTGGAGGACTTCCTTCGCCGTCTGTAGGGCTTCTGGTAAATGGAAATCTCACCTCACCTGATGACATTGTTGAAGAATTGGTCTCTCACTAAAAGCATATCTGCAGCTCCGTATACTACTCTCCTAGCTTTCTGAAGACCAAAAGAAGAATGGAGAACTTAATTTCTCGCGTCGCGTGGAGGAAGATTACAATGCTCCTTTTTCCAAGGATGTATTTTCGCGCGGCCTCGCAAAAGATTCTGCTCCAGGACCAGATCAGATACATAATCAAATGCTTAAACACCTAGCGTAGTTTTATTTACAAATTTTACTTTTGTGCTATTACTTATGTTGGCGAGCCATTTGATTGAAACATTAATTTTTTCTTTTACTTAATGTCTATCAGATATTCTCTTTGCAAAGACATGTTAAATTTGTTCGTTCCATGTTTCCCACGGGTTCCTTACATTCATGAAGACGTTATAGACTGTAATGCTGCTGAAGGGAAGTTTTCCCACAAAGAATCTGGAAGTGCACCAGGAATAGACAGTTCTTCTATTTTGATGTCAGGATTGAAAATTTTGCCCTCTAATCTGCTGTAAACCCTTAATACTAACAAAATTAATTTTTCAAACATAATATTACAGAGACTATTTATAATTGATTACTTCTACGAATGTCTTGGATGGACATTTTTATTTCAATTAGTTTTTATGCTCATGTTGGCTAATCGTCATTGTTTGCACTCCTGATAATTTTATTTCCTGTATCTGAACATTTCCTACGGGCGTCACCCTCTTGTCATCTAACATCGTCAGCAAGCATTAACCGCCAAATCCAGTTTCCGTCTCCAAGCATCACCTGAATCTAAATAGCTTCTCAAAAAAATCAAGGTTCTTCAACAAAATTGTCACCTCCATTTTCATTTGTCTCTTAACTTTTCATTACTAATTTTATAATTGGCCTTATCCCATCTGCTGGCAGACCGTATTCTAACCTGACCCGTACCAAACAATAAAACGTGTCATTATTGCTAGTACATCTGTTTCATTCCTTCATGTGACATTATCTAATACAAATGTATATTTTGAAATCAACTATGTCCCACATCATCACTGTGTTGAATTTATAATGCTAGTATCCAAAATTTATTGATTATTCCAGCCTCAGTTATGAATATTGAATTCAAGTTGCCATATTTGTGTTTCATTTTCTCATGTTCAATATGGCTACCATATGCCATACCATGTTATGTTTTCACTCTAATGAAACCATTTGTTGACTATTCTATAATATACCTTGTTTAATTCAATTGAAGGGATATGTGTGTGTGTGTGTCTGGGTGTGTGTGGGTGTTTGTGTTTGTGCACACACAAGAGGACAGTGTTTTACTACTGTGTACAGGAACAGGTTTGCAAGTAATAGGTGCATTACAATCTTGTATTTAGAGATAATATATATTTTGATAAAATTATCATATACGTTAATGCTATATTTTCAGTTCAGCGGTAAAGGCACAAGTATTGTTTTTTAGTTTTTTTATGTGCATTGATTTTATATATTTACAATTATTTTTTGTGTTTTTTTTTAGGAATGGGACTTGCTGATCATACTGCTGGAATCTGCAGGTTGTACAATTCGGTATGCTTCTTAACATTTTTTTAAGGTTTAACAAATTATTCTGTATAAACTAAACTAAAATCCTAATCCTCTGTACAGTCTCAACTAAAATTCAGGAGCTATTCACATACGTTTGGTGTGGTTTAGTGTGTAATATTTTTGACTTGAATATTACAGATTAAATTATGATTAAATGTGTATTTTTGTGGAAACTAAATTTTGTGGTTTTCTTTGTGTGTTTATAGATCATTGTGCCTTGAAAAAATGTAATATTGTTCTTAAACTTGTGTACAATTTATAACTTTCTACCACATCTGCTAGTGTACCATGTAGATTGAATAGCATTCTTGTATCCCACCATTTAATTGAACACAAGTGGGTAGAGTGAACAATAAACAACAGTTATTGATTGATGAGCAAGATCCCAATAATATTTTCTCCTCAGAATCGTCATTTCCACTTGTATCCTTTTATTCAAAATTCTGGTAGGTAATTTCACAGGACTAATTGAGATATTTAGGAATAAACCTCATCTTATATTGGGGTAATTATGGTATGTGAAACATGAGATACTGGGACTATACCCCATGCCTCAAGAGTAATCAAGGACACTAACCAACACACATGTAACAGATACTTTGTCCTCCTCCATCTAGGCTGACCAGGAAAACCAGCAATGCCACTAGACAAGGATGAAAACACCCATGCATTTGCAGGATTTGAACCTTGTAACCCCACATACTTACCATATGCACTTCAGCACTACTGCCTTTAAGACCATATTTGATTGAAACTGAAAGTTTCCTTATAAAAAAGCTACATCGATGAACAGATTTTAAAACCTCTTGTCATATTTCCGTGAAAAATCACATTCAGGTACTTTCAGAGTCACTAAACATTTGACTTTCGTGTTTTAAAAGCTCACAAGTCTTTTCTCACATACACAGGCACAAACAATAGATTTTAAAACTACTTAAGAGGAAAAGGAGAGAAATTATGTACTCTTATAAAAGTATTCAAAACAGAGATGTAGTTTTTAAAGCTGACCATCAATATGTTGTGGAATTGCATTTTGACAAGTTTCATTTTATGAAAGAAAGAAAGCAAAAAATCTTTATTATAAATGTTGTTAAATGCAGATCCGAGATCTAGATAATCAGTGGATGGTTATGCACGATCAAGGTGTCATTTGAAAACTGAGAACTCACTATGCCCGTCATTTTCATTTTATTTTCACTTCACCATACTAAGTTATTTACAAACTAGATTGTGTAACAGGATCAGTTTTTTGTATTAACAAAATAGTTGGATAACTGACTGTAACAATAAATGACAGTATAATAGTGAATGAACTCTACTTTCTCCATAAAGTGCTATTTTGCCATATCGTTTTCATTTTTTTAACAGATAGAACAATTTATGGGGAGTGAAGGATATTTGTGTTCTAGTGCTCTTTGAGATTACTAATAAATTGAATTTCAAAACTATTCATATGGGAACTACTGGTAATAAAAATTGAAAACAAAAAAACATAGAGTAGACTCTAATAAAAATCCCTGTAATGTATGTTTTTTTCTGCAGAGTAACAAACAATCCTGGTCCAGATGTGTGTTTCGTGGAAGAAGCTTTGGACACTTTGTCGTACATACAATCCATTGGAATTTCAGCAATGGCCAGCAAGTGGTTAGTGTTTTATTACTAAGAATCTAATATGCATTTGTTTTTTATTCTATTAATGCTCCTTATTAATATTTTACAGTTTAATGTGTAGGTTAGTTGCATGAACTAACTAAACTTTTATATTTAATCTTATTAACCCTTTAAGTAAACCTGATAATATAAAATAACCTTAGCAAATATTTTACATAAAGAAAATATGATTCAGTAGATCTCCTTTTTTATATTTTCTGGGTTTTGGGGGGGGGAAATGTATAAAAAAGGAGGGTATTAGAATATGTTAGTAGAAAAAGAAGAGTATTTTCATAAATTTTTAAAGTCATGTTCATTCAGTGTATTGCGCATCTTAAATTAAACTGATTAAAGGAACATAAAATTATTGTTTTTGTACTTTCTGCATCTGTATTTTGTATTATATTCAGTCTCTTTTGTCATTACTGTACTGCTTTGCATTAAGGTCAATTAATTGCCAGTACATTTTATAACGACTGTGAAGAGTTGAAGTTACTTAGTGAATTGTACATATTCCTCATACATAGCAGAAAATCTCCATCTTTTCTTCCTCAGAAATGGAGTTTCTTGTTTTCTCACCGAGTACTCACTATTCAAAGCAGCATACTGTTCTACAGGTGTTACAGATTGGAAACAATGACGACTCCTATTCCCGTCGAGGTGGATCGGTCCACGTCCTGCCGGGTGGTATGCAGGGAGGACTCTCCAGTACACCTTTCTCTCACCAATTACCTTGATCTTCCCCATCGTTCAGTCTCAACCTTTTAAAAAATACCGCCGCTTTTCTTCTACTCCTTGTATTTCACACACCCCCCCGTATCCAGAACACCCACCTACGTCTTTGCCATGCATGGCGATCCATGTTGGAGGGAAAGTGAGTGGGACCTGTTTGTTTCCCAACTACTACTTGTGCTACTTTCTGCTTTACACCTAGGGACACGTTGTTTACGTATTTTGGAAAACATTCATTGTAGGTTTCGACGGGCGGTTGAGTGCTAACCCCCTCCCAATCAATCGACTTGGACTAGGTCTTATTCTGAACTCCTGGGTGAGCGGGGGTCCACTGTGACATCTTCCCTATATCTTTGTGTCAACCCTGGCACCCCAGTGGGGTGTCCCCTTGTTGGAATCCATATTGGTGGGGAGCAAGGAGAGTATCTGCTTCAATTCTATGGAGCATAAAACAAACCCCTTGCCCTCTTCCGGAAGCAGAGGCGATGTTTTGTGAAAACAGTGGATTTCAGTAGTTTCTTCCTTAGGGAAGAAAATAAACAAATAAAAAGAAGCCACGTTTCCTTTTGATGTCGTGCACGAAAGAAAGAAAAACAGTTAAAAGTATTAGTGCGGTTTGTCTCACGCAATCTATTGAGGACAGTTTGGTAAACGCCAAATCTCAAAAACAAAGCAGATTGCCGGACTCCAGGTGGAAGTAACATCTCACCCTATCCTTAACCTATGTAAGGAAGGGGTGAATCACGATGAATTTGCGTCCGGAAGTGAGAAACTTTTGTCTCTCTTCAAGACCGTATGAAGTCCGTGTATAAATACATATACGAGAAAATTAACTAGTGGTGCTACAGATTGGCATACACTTTTTGTATTAGTTAATGATTTTCGTTGGTCTGGACTATCTATTCGAACTTGCCTCATACTCTAGCCAGCTGCCTTCAATCGACGCCTGAAACCTCTTTTTACATTTTCGACAATTTTGGGATTTTGTAACTTTATTTGAAGCTTAAAATTACTTCCAATAAAAATTTTTAAAATCTTAAAAGTTTTCTGTTAATAAGAGTTGCAAATTTTGCATTTACATTGGGGCTTAAACTACATATTATTAAAAACAATTTCAAATTTTACAACAAAAATTTCCACATAGAACGAGATTTTAATATTCTTTTATAATATTAAACTAATATTTTAGCTTTACTATGAGGAAACCGAAAAATTGACAAACATTCAAAAAATGTAATTTGACCTGCGATACATGACAATTTTCTCAGGTACTAAAAATTTCTATTTATAGAGGAGTATACTGCACTGTAATTCAAGTCGAAAATTGTAAATGAACTGTATCACTCTTCACTGCAAGAAGTCGCAGAGACAACCACTCATTTTTCAAAATTTACTGTTTTCATGTTACAAACATAATGTACAAACTTTTAGAATTACGTTGGTCAGTCACAAAAGCTTTGTGTTATCTCTTTTTATCGCCTTTTAAGTCTGTAAACCAGATTCTGAAAGTTTGCTGTCTGCTCGGACTCATCTCTCCTC